GGCCGGGGAGGGGCCCAGCAGCCCCCCCCCATCCGCCGACGCCCCCCCCCCCCGCATCCAGTACTTACCCCCCCTGGTACTGCGCCTGACCCTGCACGAGGCCTACCCCGGCCTCGCCCCGCCCCGGCTGGCGCTGGAGGCGTCCTGGCTCGCCGCACCGCTGGCGGCCAAGCTGGCCGCGGCGCTGGAGGCCCTGTGGCATGCCGACCTGGCCACCCAGCCGGCGGGCTACGCCTGGGCGGAGTGGCTGCGCGAGGGAGTCCTGGAGTCGGATGGGCGCGGGGTCCGGGGCGCCTCAGGCTGCAGGTGCGCGACGAGGACGAGGCGCAGACGCTGCTGGCCAACCTGCTGAGGTGAGGCGAGGGGGCTGGCTAGAAACGTTGCCTTTCTTTTTGGGGGATGGGGGGACAGAGGAGAGGTGCATGCCAGCTGCCCGATGGTATAGGCAGCCCCGCCTCGTGTGCTCCCCTGTGCAGCTTTCGGGCCGAGGCGCCGCGGGCCGTGGGCCAGTGCCCCCTCTCGCCCAGGTGTGCATGCCCAGCCAGCGCCACCTCCCTCGTCCATCCCAAACCCACTTGAACACCCTCCCAAAACTCGCAAAACAACCGCAGGCACGACGCGGGGTGCCGCGCGCGCGCCTGGCTGGCCGTCTCCCACCCCTGTGGCATCTGCCTGGAGGACCTGCCCGGCCCCGCCTTCAGCCGCCTCGCCTGCGGCCACGCCTTCTGCTCGCCGTGCCTGGGCGCCGCGGCGGAGCTGGCGGTGCGCGAGGGCGCGCTGGGCGCGCTGCGCTGCCCCCAGCCCGGCTGCGGCGTGGCGCTGGACCCGGGTGCGCTCCGCGCGCTGCTCCCCGCCGACCTCCACGCGCGCTGGGAGGCGCTGACGCTGGACCGCGCGCTGGCGGCCATGCCCGACGCCGCGCGCTGCCCGCGCTGCACGGGGGTGTGCCTGGAGGACGAGGACGCCTGCGCGCGCTGCGCGCGCTGCCTCTTTGTCTTCTGCGCGCTGTGCGGCGAGGGGTGGCACCCGGGCAGCGCCTGCGTCAGCGCGCAGACGCGCCTGGCCATGCTGCGCGCCAAGGCGGAGGGCGGCGGCGCCGCGGCGCGCGAGGCGCTGCGCCGCGCCGAGCAGGAGGCGGCCACCGCGGCGCTGCTGGCGCGCGACACCAAGCCCTGCCCGCGCTGCGGCGTGGCCTGCCAGCGCGACGAGGGCTGCAACAAGATGACCTGCGGCGCCTGCGGCGCCTTCTTCTGCTACCGCTGCGGCCGCGCCATCTCGGGCTACCGCCACTTTGGTGACGGCTTCTGCGTGCTCTTTGACGAGGCCGAGATCCTGCGCTGGGAGGAGGACTGGGAAGCGCGCGTCGCCGTGCACCGCGCCGAGCAGGGCGGGGGGGAAGGCGTGGGGCAGGGGCCCCATGATCCCGGGCGGGGGCAGGGCCCCAGGCCCCGGCGCGCGCGGCCGGGCAGGCCGGGCATCGCGCCCTGCCCCCAGTGCGGGCAGTTCATCGAGAAGCAGGGTGAGCAGGGGATGGCATTGGTTGGTTTTTGGTTGTTCTTTTGTGTGTGTGGGGGGGGGGTGGGGGTCGCCTTTGATGTGTATGATCAAGAAGAGGGCCCCAGCAAGCTGCCCGACCATCACAATGACTCCCCGCGCTCCGCGCCCCCCCCCTTCCTGCAGGCGGCAACAACCACATGCTGTGCTGGTCCTGCACCAGCCACTTCTGCTACCTCTGCCGCCGCCTGCTCCTGCGCCGCGGGGAGGGCGCCACGCACTTTGGGCCCAGCGGGTGTCGCCAGCACAGCGCCGACTGAGATGCGGAGACGGGGTGGAAGGAGGTGGTGGTGGGGCGCCCAGGCTTGCCGACCCGGCGCCTGGCCATGCGGCCCCGCTCCTGTTCCAGTCTGGGGCCTGGAGGCCCTCTCAGCGCAGGCCATCCGCCCTCTTCTGGCCTGCTCAGCACCACCCCTCGACCTGACCACAATAGTGATGCCGTGCCAACATCAAATTCATGTTTTCTTCAAATAATAATTGTAGCGTATCCAGGCCCTGCACTGGCCCATTCAAACACTGTTCCCTTTCTCGCCCAGACATACTTTCTTGCAGGGTTCCCTCCTCTGCAGAATGTGCTTGCCCTGCCTCCGGGCTACCATGCAACTGTACAATACATACAAGCGACACTCCACAGGCAGGTGCATGCCAGGGGGGGTCCGTTGCGGCGGTGGAGCCCCACAGTCCCCCGGCACACATCACCTGCGCAGCGCGCGCAGCAGCGAGGGCAACCGCCGCGCGTCCACCCCGCCCAGCGCGTCCTCGACGCCGCCCTTCTCCGGCCCGCCCACCACCGCGCCCGCCACCTCCGCCAGCACGTGCCACATCACCTCCTTCTGCTCCTCCAGCGGCATCACGGCAAGGGGGGGGACGTGCACGAAGACGACGTGGACGCGGGGCCGCGTCTCCAGCGCCAGGCGCAGGGAATGGTAGTAGGTCCAGTTGCAAACGAACCGCCCGGCGTCAAAGGACTGCTCCACGGGCAGGCCCTGGGCCTTCAGCAGACCTGAAGGAGTTGTAAGCGGTGGGGGGAAGAGGGGTCGATACTTTTTGACCGGGGGGAGGGGGAGGGGGGCCCGAGGTGGGGAGTGAAGGACCCAGGCACTTCATGAAATGTCGCAGGATTGTAGAGCCTGAATGCGCTCAGACGGTTGCACAGTTTCAAATCCAGTTCGGGCTGCCTGCGCTCCTTGCAATGCACCCCCCACCCGCTCCAACTCTCCACCACAGCTCCCTCCGCCACCGAACCTGCGATGACGCTGACGGGCAGGTCCGTAAGAAGCTTGCTGGCAAAGGGATGGGAGTCGTCGATAGACTCCTGGCTGGGCTGCCAACCGGCCTGGTCGGGGCACCTGAAGCTGGCCTCATTTGCGGCGTACGTCTCGAGCCGGTACTCTGTGGCCTCCTTGTCCACTCCCATGTGCACCTTTTCCGATGGGAGGGTGAGAGGAAGGGGGCTTGAGACTTGCGCAGAGGCAGGTTGGGATAGGCATAACACGAGTGTGTGCCTGCTCAGGAAGAATGGTTAACGTACTGATCCAGAGAAACTAGACCCTCAGTCCTCCAAGCCATGCAAGATGTCTAGCAGATACCAAGGTGAATCAGAGCCTGAAGGAATCATCCTTATCGTCCCTGAAAACATAATCCCCAACCGGGATCTCACAACAACAGGGTGAGAGTAGTTGTTGCTCAGTATCTTTCCATACAGCGTGTCCTTAAGCCAGGTCTCCACCTCCTTGGCTGCCACGGGCAGCACTGTGTGCCCGACCAACTTCCACAAGTCTGGGAGCTCGGGGGGAAGCAGGCTTGGAGGGAGGAGCAAAAGTACGGCCTGGCCTCACACAGAAGTATACATGAAATGCTTGCGCTTCGCACCGTTGGTCTTGCTGTCCTTGCAGCGACCGACGACGTCCTCCAACAGGTCTTCTGTGGGGTTTCGGCTCACTCCCTGGAACCCCCCGAAGGCAGTTATGAAGAGCTCTGCCATGCGATCAGGAGCGATGATGACGTCTTGGAAGCCGTAAGCTTCCGATCAAATTTTGATGATGGCCGTGACCCGCCATCACACTCTGGTGATGTGAGCACCGAATCTCGGTACCGACATTGAGGCGCCCGTACGGGCGGCTACCACCTGGGTCCCTGCCTTCCTCGTTTCGGCAACATTGGGAGTACTACGCGCGCGCATGCTGCCCGTTTGCATTGGCCACGAGCGAATTGTTTTGGGTAGTGCTCATAATACGTGTTCTTGTGCAGCTGCTCCAAGTGGCAGAGGTAGCCGCGCCCACCCGCACACCCGCCTTGCAAGGCCCGGTGAATGGTGCCATGCCGGCCCTGACGCTGTACCGCCACCGATGGTAAGGATAGATGAGGGCATGATACTAGGCTTGCATTGTATAAACGAGGCATCCAAGCCACACGCGATAGAGACTCCTTTGTGGCGGGTTTTGAGATGACGTCACCACCGATCAGCTCCCTTGCCTCCACTAACACAGGCATTTGGCCTCGGACGCCCTGCCATTCACGGGCATTGTACTGGGCTGGATTGCGCTGGCTGTCCTGCTGTCCCTCATCATTGTCATGAGCGTGACTGACAGGCCTCACGAGTGTGGCCCCCGGGAAGAGAGGATACATGATGCTGTCGTCTATGGCACAATCAGTTTTCTGGGACTCAACCTCATCACGGCGATATTGACTGTGTGGATTGGCACCCGAGGTAGGTCTAAAGACGCAAGGGCGTAGGTCATAAAGTATTGAACCGGCAAGCGACTCCTGAAACGGCCCACTCTGTGCCTCCTTGCAGCAATCTTCCAATGGAATAGATGCAGGATATGAGGCAGCAGGGGGCCATGCATTAATCTCTGCAACCTTTCCTTTGTCCACGTCCCGTGCAGGTACACCGTTTACACCCTCCAAAAGAAAACTGATGGTCCCGCTGCTATACTTCCAGACCGGGAAATGGGTGCTCGGCCTAGGCTGGCTGGGATTTGCCTTCTGGGCTGTGTACAATGTGCCAGGCGGGTGCGCCAACAATCAGAGGGTCAGAGCCCTGCGGGCGATCCTCTACTCCTTTGTCGGCCTGTTTCTTGTCATCGTGTGAGTTGTGTGGAGGGGTGGAGGGCACAGGAAGTCCGGCGTGCCATGTTGAAGCCTGTGGGGTTCTCGTGTGTGGACAATCATCCCCACAGCTCACCTGACGGTGTGCATGCTGCTCCCATCAACAGCTCAGCGTGCACTCTCTCCCCATCCCAGGCTGATGTTCTTGCTCGGATACAATTTGCTGGGCTCCTACGAGCCCAATGCTCGCTGGCAGAGCCGCCTTGGTTTCATTTCCAAGTGCCTCGGGTGCTACGACGTCGTGACCGACTCCAACCTCATGCCAGAGTGAGTTTTGGATTGCGGTGTAGGGTTTTGTCAGTCCCTGCCCATTATCATACCGGGCCCGAGGAGTAGACATTCAGGGTTGAGTCGACTTGCGTCAGTACTGCCCAAGGCCGGCTGCCTGACCCTGCCCTCAACGTGCACACCAGCGAGGCACCCACCCACAACACCTTTCCCAACCAGTGACCATGACGCCCCGCTGGAGGAGCTGGCGTCCACCTTTGCGCGCTTCTTCGGCTGCGTGGATCTGGAGAAGAGCGACCTGGTGGCGGGCGTGGTGCTCACGGGCCTCCTCCAGACGCACCAGCGCCGGTCGGCGCTCGAGCGGGAGGCGACGCGCCGGCGCGGTGTGTCTGGCGGCAAAAAGGCGCAGGTGCCGGGGCCCATGCCCACTCTGCCGCCAAGCTCACACTCCTGGGACGAAGTGCAGGGCCTCGTCGACCGATACTGCTCCAGCGTTGCGCCGGGGTGTCCCCGCTGCCAGGTGGACCAGTCACAGAGCACATCCAAGGACGACGCCCTTCAAGAATGCATGGAGCATGCTGATGACGAGCAGCTTCCACCCAGGGGCGTGCAGGCCCTGGGCGGCATCCCGGCGGCGCCGGTGCAGGATGTGGCAGAGGCGGGCGGGGATTCAGACTTCCAGGGTCGCAGCGGGGACGGCAGCGCCGGCGGCGGCGGCTCGACGCCCTCGTCCCAGGCCTCCAGCAGCGAGGCGGCAGCGGGGGTGCTGCGGGACTGGGACGGCCCCTTCCTGCGCTGGGTGACGGCGGTGGCGGCGGGGTGCAGCACCTACGTCACCCCCTCCCACTGGGCGGGGGAGGAGGCGCGCGCGGCGGGGGTGGACCCGGACGAGGCAGCGCGAGCGTCGGCAGGGGCCCCGCAACCCGCCAGCCAGGCGGAGGTCGACGACGCGGCGTACTGGGCGCGCCACGCCATCGCCGCCTACGGCAGCACCGCCTACATCTGGACCACCACGAGGCGAGGGGGGGGTCTACTTGTTTGGAGACAGGAGGCTGGCGGTGGGAGTTTCCCCTTGCAGCATGCTGCGGCCTTGCGGATCTGGGCTGCTGGATTCTCTTGATGAAAGGCACCACCCCTTCCACGCACCCAGGTTCGCGTGGTGGTTCACCTGGAGCTACTGGCGCAATCGGATCGCGCTGGCCCTATCCCTGTACCCCAGGAAGAAGGTCGCGGCTGCGGCCTACCCTCCCCTCCAGCAGAAGATCGCGGAGGACAAGGAGGCCCTCAGGCACTACGTAGGCGCGAGAAAGGTACCTTGTGTTTTTGCTGATTTTGAGTCTGGTGGAACTTGGGCGGTACAGTCAGCCAAGGGAAAAGCTTGCGGAGGGACTTTGATTGCTCACTGAAGTTTGGGGGCCCCGACAGTGCTCTGACTGGGAGATACAGCCCATTTGCTGGCTCCGACAATGACCGCCGCCCAGACAAGGAGGAGTGCATCCAATGCACATCCTGCCCCATTCCCCCAACACTCACCGCAGACGCTGGACGTCCCCGACGAGGACTTCATCTACTGCAACTTCACAGACCAGGCGCTGGGCACCACGCCCTACAACATTGTGCTGGACCGGTGAGGGGGGGTGCATTGAGCTGCTGTACGCAGCAGGGGTTTGCTTGGGTTGGACCAAGGGCATGGCTGCATGGTTTTGAGTCCCTTGCATCCTGTTCTCTGGCGATTCTCGGGCATGCATTGCGTAACGCTGCACGCATCTCTCCCCTCTCCACACCATTCACATACTCCCACCCTCCCCCCCCAATCCACCAGACCCACCAGGACGGTGGTGCTTTCCATCCGCGGTTCCAGCAGCGTGGAGGACCTGCTGACCGACGTGATGGACCGCCCCGTCCAGATCAACAACTGGCTGCCCGCCGACCTCACCGCCGCCCACCCCGACCTGGGGGAGGTCAGGGCCCACGTGGGCATGTACTCCGCGGCCAAGGCGGTGCTCCGCGACCTTGACTCCCACCGCCTCCTGGACACGCTGCTGACGGGGCGCCCACCCGCGAGCGAAGAGTGCGAGCGGGAGGTGGGACGGTATGCGCCCGACGCCCGCGACCGCGCGCTGTGCCACGCCCAGCACCGCCTGTGCGCCGAGGGCTGGGTGCCGGGGTCAAAGCGGGGTGGCCCGGGGACTGGCGGGTCCTCGGGCCGCGCAGCGGCCGTCCTGGGCAGCCCGCTGCATGCCTGGCTGGGGCGGGGCCTGAGGGGGCGGGGCCACCCAGCCCCTGGCCAGGCCCCCGACGAGGCGCAGCTGGCGCGGCTGCGCGCGCGGTTGCGGCGCGGCGGGCCGCTGGAGGAGCGGCTGGGCCCCGAGGACTACGCCACGCTGCTGGCGGCGCGGCGCGTGGACTGCCGCGGCTGGCGGCTGGTGCTGACGGGGCACTCGCTGGGCGCCGTGGTGGCGGTGCTGGTGGGCATGCGCCTGCGGACCCTGGCGCCGGGGCTGCGCGTCTGGGCCTTCTCGCCGCCGGGGGGGATGGCCACGCCCAACCTCTCGCCCCTGCTGGAGGACTACGTGACCAACGTCGTGATTGGGAAGGACGTCATCCCACGCCTGGGCACCATCACCTTTGAGCGGCTCATCGACCAGGTCTGGGCTTTGTTTCTTTGGGGCAGAGAGTTTGGGGGATAGAGGAGGGGATGGGGAGAGCATCGATCCTGCATCACCACCCCGGCAGGCAGATGTGATGAAGGGCATTCCGCACACCCCTGATAATTCAATGCGAGAGCGACCACCCCCTCCCTCTGTCCTGCGCAGATGGTGGTTGCGCTGGCGTCCACGCGCCTCACCAAGCTCAGGGTCCTGACGTCGGCGAGGTCGGCGGCCCTGCGGCGGCTGCCGCGGAACAAGGTGTTCTACCAGCCTCGTGACATCCCGGAGGAGGCGCTGCGATACGTACTGCAGTGAGTGGTGGGGGGGTGAAGGTGGGCTGCAAGTGTGCAGACGAGGGTGGCAGCCTCCCAGGCCCTCTCACCCGCCATATGACCCCACGCAGGTACTTCGAGGGTAAGTGCAGCTACAAGCACCTGTACCTGCCCATGTACCCTGCCGGCCGAGTGATGCACCTGCGCCGTGTTGAGCGAGAGAAGGGCAGCCGGGCCTGGGACGCGGTGTGGGTGAGCCACTGCTGCCTCATCGACGAGGGTATCCTGGTGTCCAGGCACCAGAGCAGCGACCACTCCATCGCCAGGCTGCGCAACGTGTTTGCTGAGCTGGCAGGGAAGGATGTTCCTGAGCTAGCTGGGGCAGACGGCGGTGAAGACCTGGTTTGATATTTGATAATCGCACTGACCTGACCTGGGATGTATAGGATGCCCAGGTCCCAAATACGTTGCATGTATTTATGCTCGCACGCTGCCCCTTTCCACTGAGATCCCTTCCTCTCATTGTATGGTAGAAGTCGAGGCAGCGGACACCGTGCGCCACTGAGGTGTCGGAGATCTGTCGTGATACACTCTTGTATACTCTTCCACTGTCCGGCGCTTGATCACGATCACGGAACCGGTCATCGAGTTGCAAATATCATGTTTCGCAACCACAGCGTGCTTTACACCACGAGATCGGTGCCAATATCCAAGGTAGCCCAACCCTACTCCGCCACGGTGCCAAAATGATCAGGAGCACGGCACCGCAAACGCTGAAGAGTCCTCGAAGCCTACTCAACTGATCCATTCGAGCTGTTTCATAGCTGTGCTGGTTCATCATGCTGCATTTCGAGCCCCTCCAGGTGAGCAAGGGAGCAGGCTGGCCCTGCACTCCTGCAGAGATCATGCCCGACAGAAGGAGCGGAGCATCTCCCAACCCGTGCAGCCACAAATGTACCTCGAACCCCATCATTTCTCCAGAGTGCCATCGATGTGGCCTTCTGGGCGCAGCTGGGGGAGAACAAGCTCCACGACCTGCGCTTGGACGAGGGCCCCATCTCGTTTGCACCCACCCTGACTGCCAGCCAGTTTGCGGGCATTCCTGGCTTCGTCACAGCCTCACCCGGATCCCTGAGCTTGCCTCCCGCGATGTCCGCTCGTGGACTGGCCTGCCTGGGCCAGGCATTTGTGTACAACACTGTGGAGAAGGTGACGCAGTCTGACCGCAAAGCCCTTACGGCCCAGGTGGGGAAGAGGGGTTGGGGACATGGAGTATCAAGGCAGCAGCATGTTTTGCGTCGCCGTCTGTCTGTCAGACAGGGCAGTCGCGTGCCACCCCGTTCACCTGTGCAGGCCGCCTCGGACATCTGGGCCTGCATCCAGGACGGCAGTGCCGTGGAGCAGCCCTCCCTCATGCTGCGCCCCATTCTCCTGACGCACTGCGACCTCAAGCACTCCAAGTACATCTACTGGTTTGGCATGCCTCACCTACAGCCTGAACGACCATTCACGCTGTCTTCCACTGCACGGCCCGCAGCCGAAGAGTTTGCAGGAGGTCTCGCAGATCAGGCAAGGGATTTTCCCGTGTAGGCAGGTAGCATGTTTGCGTGTGCCTGTGGGGCTGGCTTGCGTAAGCCTGCGATTTCCAGCTCGTAACAACTCTGGTGACATGTGAGACTGCAGTCGAGCAGCGGCCACTGCCTCAGTACATCTGGCAAATCACCTCTGGCAGGTGATGGCAGCATGCGATGAGCACCTGAAGACAGGCGGTCACTTTGCACACCTTGTGACGATAGCTGGCCTGGAGGATGCAGCAGCCGACGCAGGGGCAGCAGGCCCGGCTGTCAGCTGCCACCCCCTGACGGAGTGGTCCAGCCTGGCAATTGCAAGCCAAGGCCCCCGCACCTACCTGGCCCTCCAGGACAGCAGTTGCGAGACGGAGCGCCCCAGCGCCTCGCTCCGACCCCTGCTTCTCCTGGCGGCCGCGAGATGGAAAGTGCGGAGCCTCGACGTGCTGTGCCTGCGGCAGCGCCAGGGGCGCAGCAGCGCCCAGGGCTCGATCGTGCTGGGCGTCGACCTCCCCGGGGTAGATCTCGAGGGTTCTGCCCCCGCTGGCGCGGGCGGCTGGGAGGTGAACTCGCGCGGCAAGCCCGGACCGCGTGTCGCCGATCTGGCTGCCGCCATGGACCCTAAGCGCCTTGCTGCCTCAGGTGGGCAGGCGTATGGCCTGGGAGGAAGGTCGTGATGGCAGGCTATTGTCTTGAGATGGGAACTTTGAGCCATGTTGCTCCAACTCCCTCTGCATTCTCCTGGGCGTCGGTGCACAGGTCGCCTGCCACACAGGAGAGACCCGTGGATGGGTTGCTTGACTGAGCCCCAGTACGTTCAACAACCCCTCCCTCACCCTCGAGTACAGCGGTGGACCTGAACCTGAGGCTGATGCGCTGGCGCGCCGTGCCCAGCCTGGAGGTTGGCTCCCTCTCCTCCCAGCGCTGCCTCCTGCTTGGCGCCGGCACCCTCGGCTGCTCCGTGGCGCGCACGCTGCTGGGGTGGGGCGTGCGGCGATTGACCTTGGTCGACAACGCCCGTGTTTCCTTCAGCAACCCGGTATGGTGGCGGCGCTGGTCCCAGAGCTGGGGTCGATGTCGGATCTGAGTGAGGTGCATTCGCACACCTCAGGCCTGAGGGCAGGGGGACCCTGGCTCTTGGTCCCGCGACCATGCGCCGCTGCCAGGGATGCGTTGTTGCGGGGCTGTGGTGCGTGGCCAGGGTGTCACCACTTCGACAAGAAAGCATCACAGCCACCCACCCAGACATCAATACGGTACCCGCCTTCCATCATCTTTTCCCCCATTCAGGTGCGGCAGTCGCTTTACACCTTTGAGGACTGCCTGGGGGGCGGGGTGCCCAAGGCCCAGGCGGCCGCAGAGGCGCTGACGGCTATCTTCCCCGGCGTCGATGCGAGGGGCCTGGCCATGAGCGTGCCCATGCCGGGGCACGTCGCCACTCCGGACGAGGAGGCCGAGGTACGAGGGTCCGTGCGAGGATTGCTGCCCACTGCCCAGCTCCTCTGCACTGGTGTCTGTCGGGGACGCTCACAATGCACCCTGAGCCCCCCTGCCCCCCGCCAACCGTCCAATGTCTGCAGGCGGCGGAGGCCACCGAGGAGCTGAGGACCTTGATCGAGGAGCACGACATCGTCTTCCTCCTCATGGACACTCGGGAGTCGCGTTGGCTGCCCACGCTCCTGGGTGCAGCTGCCCGGAAGCTGGTGGTGAACGCCGCCCTGGGTTTCGATGGCTACCTGGTCATGCGGCACGGCCTTCCCGCAGGCGCGGGATGTGGTGTGGGGCATGAGGCGGTGGCCTGCAGGGAGTGCCCGGCGGTGCCTCACCCCAGGATCCTGTCGCAGCTGGGCACCGACCACGACGTCTCCCTCCCGTGTCCAATCCGCAGCCGCCACACCCGCTGCAACGGAAGGCGACGTCACCGCAGCTTCGCCGCCGGAGCGTGGCGGGCTGCCTGCGTGCGCTGGCCTGGGCTGCTACTTTTGCAACGATGTCGTGGCGCCCGTGGACTCCACCGCCGACCTCTCCCTAGACCAGCAGGTCGGCCTGGTGCGAGTACCTCGCTGCGCCAGCACTGGCGTGTGCACCCCCACGCGCGCACATGCCCTCGCATCGCGAGCGCCCTCCATGCCCCACTCCTGCATTCCGCGCAGTGCACGGTCGCCCGCCCCGGGCTCAGCGCCATTGCAGGGGCGCTGGCGGTGGAGCTGGCCATGGCCGTGGCCAGTCACCCCCTGGGCCCCGCCGCCCCTGCGGCGGGGCGGGCTCCAGAGACGTCACAGGCCGCCGACCCGGCGGTGCTGGGCAGCCCGCCCCACATGATCCGCGGCCAGCTCACCGGCTTCTCACAGGCGAGGTGGTTGGGGTGATGGTGCTGCAAGATCACGGCAGGGTCCTCTCGCCCTGCATCTGCCTCTGGCAGGTCCCCGGGTGTTTCATGCCTCCTAGCCCATTCCCTCACAGCATTCCCACTTCTTGGCCCCCCCCAGGTGTGCATGACCGGGTCGGCCTCCAGGTACTGCACGGCCTGCTCCCCCGCGGTGCTTTCCTCCTTTGCCAGGACCGGGACGGCGTTCGTCATCCAGGTGCAGGGTAGAGCTGGTTGGTGATGTTCGAGGAGGTCGTGTGCCAGGGAGGTCCCGTGAGGAGCCCAACCCTCGAAGCCTGGGCATGTGGCGCTGTGGATGGGTGCACAGGGGTCCGATCCCCGGCCCACACATCCCGCAGAGCCTGAGGGCGCCGTCGACGCTGGAGGACCTGACGGGCCTGACCCAGCTGCATGCCGACAGCGAGGCAGTGCTGGCGCTGCAGGGCAGCGAGAGCGAGGAGGAGGGCCTGGAGCGGGCCGACGGGGAGGAGGATGACTGGCATGAGATCTAGCCTGCCCTGACTTCTCTTGCATTGATTTCACTGCGCCAAAGGCTCCCAGCACGCCAGGGGAATTACATGGGGGGTGACCTGCCGGGACAGGGAAGGGGAGTGGCACCCTGGAGCAGGTCGTGTTCTGCGCAACCAGGGCGCAGTCCATGCCCGAGGCCCATGCAAGCAGGTTTGCTGGTGGTGTTGCCGGGGGGAGCATTTCAGGCACAAAACAGCGGGGACGGGTGGCCGGTGCGGCCATGCGCGAGGCAAGCATGCGACATGCTCGTGTGCACGGGCGTGCAGCCCCGCAAGACGAAAACAGTCCGGAAGGAGAGTGGGATTGACGGGGGTTCGCACCCCGGGGGGGTACGACGCCGCCCACACGCATTCAAAAATGGGAGCAGAAAACGGGCGCAGGCCAGGACCAGGAGGCTGGTCGGGCGGTGCAGGGAATTCAGTGGGCACACGCCCCGCCCGGGAGTCCGAGGCGGGAGGATGGATCGGGGTTCTGTTGAGAGAGAAGCCGGCAAGGGGAGCAGGCTGCCCTCGCAAGCGGGCCAAGCTGCCCTCGCCAGGGCAGGCGCGTGCTGGGGGGCTGGGGGCCGGTGGCCAGGCCAGCATGGGCATTCAAAACGAGTTCGCGGGGGGGGGATCAGGCATGTTCCCACCGCCCGCGGCAATGGCCAGTTTGGTTCTGGGCGTCGCACTACGGAGCGCAGCGCAAAGGACGTCAGCGCGACAGAAAATCCTGCACGTGTGATTGCGGGGGGGCGGGGGGGAGGAAGGGCATGAGAGGAGAGCTCGAGACGTGTGGCGATGCTTAGGGCGGAGTTCCCAGCCTGATAGAGGCTGCGCTTGGCGGGGTTCGCAGGGTCGCACCAGCGACTCCCTCGCAGGCTCGTCCAACAGAACGTGAGTCCCAGAGGGCGGTCGTCGCCGCCCCTGACACCCCCCACTCCTTCCCATGACCTGCAGTACTCGCTGGCTCACCAGGCACGAGGCCAGTCCGTCCTGCTTCCCCTGCCAGCTGGGCATGCCCTGCATCCCTTGCTGGGCCAGGGAGGGCAGCGGGGCCGAGGCGACGGAGACGAGCGGGGGCGCGGAGTGGCGCGGGATGCCTCCCCCCGCCCCCCGCTCCGGCATGGGGCAGCGGTCGTGCAGGGCAAAGGGCCCCTCGCCGTGGCCCTGCACCTGGAAGCTGACGGCCTCCACGCTGGTGCGCGCAAACTGGGCGCGCATGGCCTCCAGCTCCGACACGGCCTTGGCGCGCTCCATCATGGCGTGCTGCGCGATGGAGTTGGAGCGCTCCAGCTCCGCCGACAGGCGCGCCACCTGCGCCCGCACCCCGTCCAGCTCCTCCTCCAGCCCCGACACCTGGGTCTGGCGCCGGCGGCGCGACCGCCGCGCCGACTCGCGGTTGGACAGCATGCGCCGCATGCGCCGCACCTGCTCGGGGGGCAGGTCCGGGTCGATCAGCGCGTCGTACTCCTTCTTCTGGCGCGGCCGGCCCGAGGGGCGGGGCTGCAGGCCCGCGCGCAGGGCGCCGCCGGCGCCCGCGCACCCCCCGCCGCCGGTCACGCTGCCGGCGCGCTGCGCGCAGACAGGGTCGGGGCCGTCGGAGGCGGCCGGATCGCCAAACATGGAGCCGGCGGCCGCCAGGCAGTCGGCGCCGTGCGAGTCGGTGGCGTGGGTGGAGCCCGAGGTGCCGTCGCTCAGGCTGCCGCGCACCAAGGCGGAGACGGAGGAGGCAGGGAGGCCGGAGGAGGCCGTGGCACCCGGCGCGCCGCCCAGCAGCGCCAGCAGATCGCCGTGCATCAGTGCCTCGGCCGCCGTGCGCGGCGTGCGCTGGGCGGCGGCGGCCGGGTGGGCCTGCGCGCCGACCATGCTGGAGGCCACGTGGGGACTCTCCAGCTGGGCGTGAGGCGTGTGCGCGGCGCGGGGGGAGGGCGCGGGCGGGCCCCGCCCCGGCGCGGCGCGAGTGGCGATGCGGGAGGGGAGGGAGAAGGCGGGCTGCCCGCCCGTCTTGGCGGCCACCTCGGCCTGGAGCTGGGCGATGGCGGAGAAGTCGGCGCCGGGCTCGGCGTACATGAAGCCGGTGAGGTCGGAAGGGAGGAGGTAGCTGTGACGCTGGCCGGAGGCCGGGAGGCGGGAGGGGTCGGGCAGGTCGGCCACCGACATCAGGTCCAGGTCCAGGAAGTGCTGGTCGATGTGCATCATGGGGAGGGGGGGGCCTACAAGCAAGGAGTGGTGGGTCACAATGTCGGGCAGGGGAACGGCGCGGTGTGATGCCCAGCAGGTGGGCCCACGCGGGGGTTGCGGTGCACGCTCCGACAGGAACCGGGCGCACCCATGTCGTTCGATGGGAGCTCGGGCTCGATGGCCCCCTTCACACCCATGTGCCGCTCGGAAATGTCATCGCCAAACAAGGTGTGCATGTCGCTACGAAACTGGACTGACTGAGTTGGGCACACGCGCTAAGGAGCAATTTCAGCTGTACAGCTTCCTGGGCACATGGGCCGGGGGAGTGGTCTCCCTGGCAGCACGAGAAAACGTCGGATGCAGTTCTCAAGATCAATACTGGTGGACAGAGCGATGATGACGGCTTCCATTCCCGCATTGTCCCGGCTTGCGAGTCGGCAAGGTGTAGAACCTGGGCTGGGGTTTACGTGTAAGGATTGTGCGGTACCACTCGCCATACCATCGCGCCCACGAGCGTATACAGAACTCGGAAGCAATGTGGGCAATATGCAGGGCCGTCGCTACAACACAGTGCTCTTCAGACACAATTCAATATCTTGCAGATAATGAATTTAATGGACGAAGAATGAGACGTGCGTCGAATGGGCCTGCCCTGGCCCTTCGCTGGTTGCTGGGCGGGGCGGGCACCACCCCATGTGCGGGACCCAGCCCCCACTCCCTAGCGCGGGGCATGGCCGCCGAGGCCCAGTTGTCCCCGGATGTATTATCTATCCCGCAACAGAAGGCCTCGCAAGCGATTGCCTCGCCGGTGGGGGACCTGCTGGCGACGCTGGAGACCATGGGCCGGGTGCTGAGCTTCCAGGACACCCCTCCCCCACCTCCCCCGCCCAAGTACCCCCGCGCCTTCAGCCCCGTGATGCAAACCATGGCGTACCACGAGCAGTTCATGGACGAGACTCCAGAGGGCAAGGCCCTGCGCGACAACTGGCGCCGCCAGGTGGTGCTGGAGACGCGGGCGGTGGAGGCGGCGGCGGCGCGGTACCGGAGGGACCTGGCCGCTGCGGTGCAGCGGGGGGAGGGTGCCAACCTGCCGGCCTCGCGCCGACTCCTGCTGCGCTGGTACGCGCCGCTGGTGGACGCTATTAAGGAGGAGCAGCGCAAGGTGCGGCGGTGTTGCTGGAGCCGAGGGGTATGGCTGTCGAGATGGCGACGCCCTGAGGGCAACAGCAAGCATGGGTGTCTTACCGCATGATGCGCTGTGACCGGTGTCAGCCTGATCACTCTGCTGCCGGAGGCGCTGAGCCAGTGGCTCTGGAAAGAGGGTTGCTGGCGTGCCATACATGGTCACTGTGCGATGTGAAGACCATGCCCGGGTAGCCCTGCACAATACATTATACATTCAACCCCATGTCCACGCCCGCGCCGTCCGCAGATTTACATGCGCGAGGTGCAGGTGGACCGCACAGTGTACGGCCCTTTCCTCCTGCTGCTGGAGCCGCAGCAGCTGGCGGTCATTGCCATGCACTGCACGCTGCACGCCATCATGGAGCTTGGGGGCACCAACCCCGAGATCGTCGTGCCCGGGCAGACGCGGGTTACACGCCTGGCGGTCACAATAGGCAGGGTGAGCTGTTTGGGGGGAGGGCGATGGAAGTGGGGCGTGGACTGCCGTGGGAAAGACCCGGCTGGGAGGAGGTGGGTGCAGTCGAAGCAGGGACTGAGGCATCGCACAATCCTGGGTGGATTTGACGCATTGGAGTTGGATCATATGCCGGTAGGCAATCCCATCCTCCGGCGGTGGGATGCCGGGCCCCTGGCTGCCTCACAGGGCCTGTGGATGGTGCACAGGATGATCTACTTGGCCCCCAAGTCCATGGCAAACGAGCAGCCCCCACATCTCCCGTCCCTCCCTCGCAGATGATCGAGAACCAGGTGAACCTGGAGAAGGTCCAGTCCATCTGCCGCAAGCATGCCAAGGCCAACCGCGAGGTCGCAGCGCTCTACGCCGAGGTACGGGTGGGATGGGATGGCATGCATGAGCTGGTGGTCGGCGCCCTCCCGTGGGTCGCCTGCGACGCTCGATCCTCTTTGTCAACAGTTCTGCTGCCGGAGCGGTCCCCAACACCGCCCGCGCACTCGGCCCCTTTGGTCGGGCCCTCTCTGCCGCTCGCTCATGCGCGCCCGTCCTCCTAGGCGCAGCGCTCGAGCCATGGTGCGGTCCTGCCCCTGTCGCCCACCCTCGCACGCACTCCCACCCCCTGCAGGGCGAGGATCTGCGTGCCAAGCTGACGCAGGGCGGGCGGCTGGAGCCGGAGGAGTGGTCCCGCTGGCGCCAGCTGGGCGCCATGCTGGAGGAGCTGGGCGAGGTCCAGCCCCTGGACCACCTGGACTGGTTTGTTCCCGGCGAGAAGCTGGGCCAGCGCCTGGAGCGTCTGCCGGCCATGTGGTCGGGGGGCGGGCCCATCGGACAGGGCACGCGACGCCTGATGTCGGCGGTGAAGAAGGCGCTGGACCCGGAGGACCTGGAGGCGTGGCGGGGCGAGACGCACGCCAAGGTGGGCGCCGCGCTGATCAACCTCATCCTGGGCACCTGCACCGTGGACCTGCCGGGCCGGGGGCCGGGCGGCGAGCCGCGCGCGGTGCCCGCCTTCTGGCACAGGCTGGAGCTGGCAGCCGACGGCTCGGCCAGCGCCGCCAGCCGCGGAGCAGGTGGGGAGCTGTTGGAGTTTGGGGGTTCAGTTCCTTTTCTCGTGTATATTTTGTGGACGCAGGGTCACGGCCAATGCGGCAATGAGGAGGGCCAAGGCACGGGCCTTGTGCAGGGATCGAGAGAGCCCAGCGCCTCGGCGCCGCCCGGCGACGCGAGGACACGGCACCCGGGAGTCATGTCCACCCCTGGGCAAGTCCACTGTGCGCAAACACCAGTTCTTTCGCCCTGATTGGACCAGACCATCCCTGTTCCCCCCCAACGCCCCCAAGAAGCACCCCCAACGCCCGACTCATCACCAGGCTCCCTGAAGCGCTATGGCGTGCTGTGCGCGCATGAGGAGGTGCTGAAGCGCGTGCAGCCCAGCCACATGGTAGAGGCCTTCATCCCGCAGTACGTGCCCATGCTCATCAAGCCCGTGCCCTGGCAGCGCCACGACCGCGGCGGGCACGTCACGCTGCGCAACAACGTGATGCGCCTGCGCGGTTCCCACCTGCAGAGCGAGATGCTGGCGCGCGCCGACCAGGACATGGTGAACGGGCGAGGGCCGGGCCTGTCCAAGGTGAGGAAGGCAGGGTTGTTGGTTTGCGGCGGGGCCTGGCAGGGGCTGGCGGATCGACGGCCGGCCAGCGCGGCGACGCCAGCTCAGTCTTCCCGCACCGGGCATCGACTGTCGGAGCGCTGCAGATGCACGCGCGAACACCCCCGCACCCCCATGTCCTCACTCAAACAAGCCCCCCACCTCACTCCCTCCCTCGCCCGTCACCGCTGTAGGTGTATGAGGCGCTGAACGCGCTGGGCGAGACGCCGTGGCAGACCAACGTGCCCGTGCACCGCGTGGCGGAGGCGCTGTGGGGGCTGGGCGGTGGCGTGTGCGACGTGCCGCGGCGCATGAACTACACCGTCCCCCCGCCCCTTCCCGCCGGCTTCCGGCTGCACCGCTCCGAGGGCCCCGGGTCGGGGTTCGCGGTCTTCGACTACGGCCGCGACGCGGCGCGCAGCAGCCGCGTGGCCGCGCGCCAGCTGCGCCGCCGCAACAGCGAGCTGCACGCGCTGCGCTGCGACATGGAGTACAAGCTGGCGGTGGCGCGCGAGTTCGCGGGCGAGCCGCGATTCTACTACCCGCACAATGTCGACTTCCGGGGGCGGGCCTATCCCATGCACCCCCACCTGAACCACCTGGGCTCCGACCTCTGCCGCGGCCTGCTGCGCTTCGCAGACCGCAGGCCGCTGGGCGAGCGCGGCCTGCGCTGGCTCTACGTCCAGGCCGCCAACCTGTGGGGGGCGGGCGTGGACAAACTGCCCTTCGCCGAGCGCGCCGCCTGGGCCGAGGCACACCTGGGCGACCTGGTGCGGAACGCACGCGACCCCCTGGACACCGGGGCCGGGACGTTGGACGACAGCCTGGCGCGCGCGGACGCGGCGGCGCTGGCACGCCTGGTCGAGCGCGCCGCGGACCGCGAGGATGGCCGCGCCTTCTGGTGAGGCGGGGTGGTGGGGAGGCTGCCACAGCAGCCATGCACCTGTCCCAGCAAACACACATGCCACTGCCCCTCCCCCACAACACTCCCGATCCCCCACCACGCCATAGGGTGAAGGCAGAGGAGCCGTTCCAGTTCCTGGCGACGTGTATGGAGATCGCGGACGCGCACGCCAGCGGTGACCCCGCCTCCTTCCCCTCCCGACTGCCCACGCACATGGACGGGTCGTGCAACGGCCTGCAGCACTACGCAGCGCTGGGCCGCGACGCCGCGGGCGGGCAGGCGGTCAACCTGCGCCCCGCGGCCCGCCCCCAGGACGTCTACTCACAGATCGCGGCGCTGGTGCGCGCGCGCGTGGACCGCGACGCGGCGGCAGGCGTGACGCACGCGCGCGCGCTGCGCGACGCCACGCCCATCGACCGCAAGCTGGTCAAGCAGACGGTGATGACCAGCGTGTACGGCGTGACCTTCGTGGGCGCGCGCGGGCAGATCACCTCGCGCCTGAAGGAGCGCGGGTTCCAGGACTCGCGCCTCATGTACAAGGTCTCCTGCTACTCTGCAAAGGTGGGCCGGATGTGTGGGTTTGTGGCGGGGACACATTCTGTCTTGGGGCAATGGGCTGTGGGTTGGGGGTTCAAGGAGGGATCCCCGGTGATGCTGGACATTCCTCGTCCCATACCCCTCACAAGCAACCCCCTCTTCCAATTCTCATTCCCCCACCCCCCCCCGGCCGCATTTTCCCCCTACCCCCCAAGGTGACGCTGGAGTGCCTGATGGAGATGTTCAGCTGCGCCAAGGACATCATGAACTGGCTGGCGGAGTGCGCCAAACTGGTGGCGGGGACAGGGGCCACTGTGCAGTGGACCACGCCGCTGGGCCTGCCGGTTGTACAGCCGTACCGCAGGACCACACGGCACCACGTCCGCACACTGCTCCAGGTGCCCGGGTGGTATGGGAGGGTACTGGATGCGCGTGAGGGGGGAGTTGCGAGGATGGAAGACCCCGGCACAGGGCGTGGAGGGCTGCCCTGGAGCTTGGAGGGCTGCCCTGGAGCTTGGAGGGCTGCCCTGAGGCGCGGGCGCCGTACTGGAGCTGTCAGAATTGGGTGAACACTGCATGCTCCTCTGTCACTCATATTCCCCTTGCCACCTCCCAGCTCAAAGTACACACACATATTTCCTCACAAAACCTGCCACCCATACAACCACAGAGGCTGGTGGTGGTGGAGAACAACGACGAGCTGCCGGTGATGAAGACGCGGCAGCGCACCGCCTTTCCCCCCAACTTCATCCACTCCGTGGACTCCAGCCACATGATGATGACGGCCATCGCGTGTCGCAGGGCAGGTGTGCCGCGGTCGGGCAGGCCTGTCTTGGGGCGCTGGGCCGGGCTGAGCATTGTGAAGGTGGCATGCATCAGCCGCGTGCCTCAGGAACATGGAGGCGTCGGTGGTGCGAGGCGCCCAGGTAAATCACATCCCTTTCATTCGTCGCAGGGATGAGTTTTGCTGGCGTGCACGACTCCTTCTGGACGCACGCGGGCGACATCGAGCAGATGAATTCCATCCTGCGCGATGCGTTTGTTGAGCTGCACTCGCAGGTGAGAGGGTGAAAAGAGGACAGCTCTGTTGCCATGTTTTTGACGTGCAGGCTTCTTGGGCAGGGGCGTCGACTTCCCTCGAGGAGAACAATGTCCGCTGTCATCGGTCGGCCCTCAAGGCTCATCTGAGATGGTCCCTCTGGCATGGTCATGGGGATCAACTCTCCCTTGCATCCGGGTCCCACCACCCTTGCCCGTGCCTGTCCACACTCGCTGCCTCCAATGGCAAAGACGTCCAGATCAACATCCCTCACTCCCATACCCTGTCGCAGCCGTTGCTGGAGAACCTGCTGGCCGATTTCAGGGCCAGCTTACCCGAGGTGGAGTTTCCCGAGCTGCCCAAGAGGGGCGACCTGGACCTGGAGGAGGTCCGCAAGGCAGAGTACTTCTTTAGCTGAGAGCATGCTCCCTGTACACTTTCCCTCCTTTCCCAATCCTTCTCATACCACTGCTCCCCCCCTTCCTGCTTGGTGCATGCACACGAGCACGTGCTGCGGGCATGCTGCCCAACCCCTCATGGCCGCCTGGATGGGACCTCCCCATCTGGCTTCTCTGTTTGAATTGAACACGAATCCAAAACATCCTGAAACATGCATACACAAGGGGGCCGCTGGGCGGGGTCAAGGGCAGCAGTCTGGGCGAGGTGGGTGCGCAGAGCATGTGCAGCGGGGTGAGCTGGGCGGGCGTCAAATCACGCAGGGTGGTCCTCATCAGTGCAGTTCTTGCCATTCACGAGCAGGGATGCCTGGGGTGTTGCGCTGCGGTTTCAGCGGTCCATTCCCAGGCAGGGTGGGTCACGGCGAGCAGGCGGCGCTCAGCGGACAAGGCGTGTGGGCGTGCGGTTGGTGACGTCGCCCAGGACCCGGCGAGGGACTGCAGTAAGCCCCTTGCTGCTTGGTCCGATGGTGTGGGGCAGGGGGGCGACGTGCGGCTGAGCATCTGCCTGGGCCATCAGCTCGTGGGGAGGATAGCGGCTCATCACGGGCAGGAAGATGTCGTTGTAATACTGCGATGGGCCGAGGTGGATCCAGTGGTGCAGTCTGGGTCCCTGTAAGGTTGCCAGGGCACGCAGCACAAGGTGCGTCGCCATCCCATGCCATGCCAAAGAGCGGCATGCAAAACTTGCTGGCTTGCGCAGGGGGGAGGAGGGTGTCGCTGCAGGCGATCTGAAGCAACCCCAGCCCTCTCCTCCGCCCGCCACCCACCTGCCTCGCCCCCATGCATGTCAGAGCATCCTCTGCCTCTGCTCCAGCCGTGAAGATTGGCACGAGGACCTGTGGACAGGGTATTGTCAGCATTTTGGGTGAACCAGGTTTGAGAAGGGAATGCAAGGCCCAGCAATGCCACTGCCTGCCACTGCCTACCTGCTGGAAGATGGACGCTTCATGGTTTGGGAGTGTGCCCTCCAGCACCCCCACCAGCTTTCCAAAGGGCACCTTGAGGCCACACAGCTTGATCTGACCATTGTCGAGGGCGAGGAGGGGGAGAAGGGGAGCCCGGTCAGGCCCTGGGCGTACTGTTCAATGCAAACATGCAGGGCTGCATGGACTGCCAAGCGCCCCAGGCAGCAGGGGCAGCCTGCGTGCCGGCACCCCCACCCACCCACCAGGAGGTAGAGCGCCGCGCACACCACGACGCTGGCATGCACGCCAAAGAACAGCTGGAGCTGCTGGTCCAGCACGAGACCCAAGCAGTGCGCAGCGCGCTGCCCAAACCCTGCCAGGGCCAGATTTGGGAGGAGAGAGGATGCGGTCGCATGCTGAGGTGCGTCGGGGGTCCACATGTGTACCTGTGGACCACCCAGCCTCCCTCCCCTGCCTCCCTTCACACAAGACCCACGAACGACGGCCCTGGTAGCACCGCAGGCATGTGTCCCGCAAGCCACCCACCCACCATCCACTGCCTGGAGGTGGGGGCACTCCACCAGCAGGGCTCGGGCAGCACCTTCCAGCCTGGCCAAGCACATGCTGCGGTGCTCGTCTAAGAAGCTGGCCAGAAGCTGACCTTCCAAATGCCCTACGCAGGGACATTCTCTCTTGACGGGTAAAACAACTTGTGTAGGGGAGCACTTCGATCCAGATTGAGCAGATTTGAGCGACTTGCCTCCTGCTGCGTCCCACCTGGCTGCAGCCTGGGAGAAGAAGCAACGAGCCTCAGAATGGAGCTGCCAGGCAGGAACGCAAGCTCCTCCTCTATCCTGACCTACACCACATGATGGCGGCATGGCTGCGTCGTAGGCACATCCTAGCTGGTGATGTGTGCGAGCTGCATTGCTTCCAAGTCTCAAACAATGCTCAACCAGGCAAGGAGCAGCCTCCCAGACATTGTATCGCGCTCCCACCTGCATGCCTGCCAGAAACTCCTGGACATCCAGTGGCATTCCTGCAGTGTGCAAACAGGAGGTTGGGGTGGCGCTGATATTGCAAAGCTCTATCCTTTGATGGATGTTCCCTGAATTGTGGCATACGACTGAGAAGTTGCACAGCAAGGACACCAAACTCTTGCTGAACAAAAGGCGTCATGCTGTTCACCTGGCAGACTGCTGGTGTAGTCGCCATCTGTTGGTGCAGTCAACGCCCCACAAAAGGCCTCGATGGCATGCCACAGCTGATAGGTCTTGTTGGTCAACCCCAGCTTCTTCGTGGCAGCAGGGAAACCAATGCCTGGGCGACTGCCCAGCAGCGAGAACACCGCAACCTGCGGAGCAGAGAAATGTTGGAGTATGGACTGGCATTCAGAAAAGGAGCCTAGCCGTGAGAAAACTTCCAAGCACTCACCTCGATGCAGCAGTTGAGCAGCGCATCCAAGGCCTCCATGTCTCCTGCTGCAGCCTCCACCCTCTGCCCTTTGACGTTTGGGTGTCCCCCAAGGGATCGGCCCTCGGCCCTGGCCACAAGGGACAGCAGCCTCTCCAGGACACTGTGAAGAGAGTATAGGATGAGCAAGCAGAGGGATCAACGCATGGGCAATCATCAGCAAACTGTGTTGGGGAGTATTCTGCCCCCTCTCCTTCCCCCCCCCCCCCCCGTCCCTCACCAGTAGTACAGCGTGAGGCAGCATTTGTAGTGAAATGGGTGGCAGCCGCCACGATCAGTGGGCTTGCCCCGATGGTTCTGATTTATAGGGAAAACGGCCGAGATCCGACTTCGGGCTGCATTCACTACATTCACCTGTCATTCAGTCATGTAAGATTAGGGGATGAGGTTGCATGAGCAGCTCAATCCAAAACTTCTAGTCACGTCGAAGGATGCGGATGGAAAGCGAAATCGACTACAGCAACTCACCGTCAGCTCTGCGCGTTTCGGCACCTCCTGAAAGTGCGCAAAGAGTGCCTCGGTGCTCGTGTTCTCATGCTGTAAGCAGATTCGCTTTATCCAGGCTCCAGCAGCATCGCTGACGCCAGAGGGCCGGGATGCAAGCTCCGGCTCTTGGGGCATGGTCCAGCCATCTGTTGCATCCAGCGATGTGTCGTCAGCATAGACATGCAAGGCGGGAGATGTCGTCATGATGCTCGTAATGACATTTATCGAGTGGGCATTTTAGTCCAAAGTGCTGGTTCCCGAAGACATTGCGACCTTGAACTCGGCCTGTCGCAGAGCGGGCACCTAACATGGCCGCAGCGGCATCCCGCCATTGTTAACACCTTTCCCACTCCGCATTGCAACTTGCACAGCGTAATGATAGAGAGGGTCATCTGCAATGTGTGCCCTGTTCTTTGCGGGCGCATGGCGGTGGAGCTCGAGAGCTTCATCCGGCTCCATGCTGTCGAACACGAAGCAGGACTCTCAAACGAGTTCCTCTTGGCACTTAGGAAGTGACCACCAACATTCAACTCAAACCTCCCCTGGCCATTATTATGGCAGCTCTGGGCGTTCACTCGGCAACATTGCACCCCTACACTCTGGTCGCGCGGTGGCAGCCCTTGGCGATGGGACCCAAGCCAGCCAAGGAGTGGCGCCGATGGCGGCCCAGTGACCCTCCACGCGCCTCCCGCTCGATGTTCCCTCGTGTAAATGCATCCATGGATACTGCGACCGTGGACTGTACGACGGCACGGGACCTCAGTAACGTCCTGTCTCTCAACAACATCCGGCAGACGCTCATCCGGCTGGAGGACACGATCATCTTCGGCCTAATAGAGCGAGCCCAGTTCGCACGTAACAGTGCTGTGTACGAGGAGCCTGGAGTGGAAGTGCCTGGCTGCTCCCGACCGGGCTGCTCGTTGCTGGAGTACATCCTCAGGGAGACCGAGCAGATCCATGGCCGCATCCGGCGCTACACCTCCCCCGATGAGAATGCCTACTTCCCCGAGGCCCTGCCCTCCCTGCTCCTCCCGCCCATCACCTATGAGCAGGTGAATGCATGCAGGGCGTGGGAAATTCCTGGTGCGAGGATGGCGGTCCGACGCAGCGCACATCTATGCTGCCAGTGCCGGATGGTTAGCAGGAGGCGTTCTCAGCCTCGTTCCAAGGCTCAGACACACACCGCCCGCCACCCCAGGTTCTGGCTCCTTGTGCTGCATCCATCAACCTCAATGAATCCATCCTCAAGCTGTACCTTGAGCACCTCATGCCGGAGATCACCGAGCCTGGTGATGATGGCAACTATGGTTCAGCTGCCATGTATGATGTCATGATCCTCCAGGTGTGATTTTGGAGTCATTGTTGTGGCGCTGGAGGCTGGTGGAGGATTATGGCCCATGTGAGAAGGTGCCCTGAGTCCCTATATCCTGTACCTGCATTCTCTGAGATAGGTGTGTATATGAGGCTCATCACTTCTTCCCTGGCACGATCCCATTGCCAGGCACTCTCCAAGCGCATTCACTACGGCAAGTTTGTGGCGGAGTCCAAATTCCTGAGCCAGACCGAGAAGTACACACGGCTAATACATGCACATGATTCAGAGGGCCTCATGGCAGCAATCACAGATGCTGTGGTGGAGGCCAAGGTGAGGAGCTGCATGGATTGCAGAGTGCTGGGGTGCCCTGTGCTGCTAGTGATTTTCCATACCTTGCAGTCACCAGGGGTCTTAGGAAGCCAGTCACTGCCACCTGCGCACCGGTACAAATGAATTCTATCACTCTGCTCCTGACAGGTCATCCAGCGGGTTGCGCGAAAGGCTGCCATTTTCGGACAGGATGTGGGTGCTGCAGGCGACGTGATTGTGGGCACGGACTCGGAGGCGGCGGAGCAGAATGCCAAGGTGCGACCACAGGCGGTGGCGCAGCTGTACAAGGACTGGGTCATGCCCCTCACCAAGAAGGTGGAGGTGGACTACCTGCTGAGGCGCCTGGAAGACTAGTGCATGATTCTTTATGAAGCCTGGATGCCCCACGGAGGCACACAGGCAGGGATGGCCTGATCCCCAAACACCCCGAACTGAACCTAGTGACGTTTCGAGCACAATCTAAAGTGGGGGGGGGTGCAGAGCGCGCGCGCCACCACTCTCGCAGTTGGGCACCCTCTTCCTCCCGTGCGTTCACATGCATACAATCGCACGCATGTCGCATGCACTCTTACACACGATACAATTACTGTTAACCCACGCCGTAGCTCGTCGGCCAGCAAAGTAACTCGGAAGGCCTGGGAGCCGAGACGCCTTGGGCCCTGACGGGGCCGTGCCAGGATGCGACAACTGAAGTTCCACGAGAAGAAGCTTCTGAAGAAAGTAGACTTTCTTCAATGGAAGAATAAACACAACCTGCGGGAGCTTCAGGTGGGTAGCCGGAGGTACTTCTAGGGCCGGGTGTTTCGCGACGGTGCTACCTCCAGCAGAGCCACCTGCGTGACGTGCTGGGCTCCATTTCACAAGCTAAATTACGGTCCGCAGGTGATGCGCCGGTACCACATCCAGGACCGGGACGACTACAAAAAATACAACAAGCTGGTGGGCATGGTGACCAGCCTGACCTCCGTGCTGAAGAAACTGGCCCCCACCGACCCCGCCCGCATCGAGCTCACTGAGAAGCTGCTGGACCGGCTGCACGACATGGGGGTCATCACCACCAAAAAGAGCCTGGTCCAGCTGGAGAAGCTGAGCACCGCGTCCTTCTGCCGGCGCCGCCTCCCCGTGGTCATGGTGCGAGCCAAGATGTCTGAGACCCTGAAGGAGGCCATCACCTTCATCGAGCAGGGCCACGTCCGAATAGGACCAGACACAGGTGCGGGGGTCGGGTGGACATGCGCGTGTCGTTCTCATGCATGTGGCTGATGTGCTCAGGAGGTCATTTTGGCTGGCTGGCCACCCCTCTAACTCTCACTTTCCTCCTCGCACGCAGTCACCGACCCTGCCTTCCTCGTCACGCGCGCCATGGAGGACTTCGTAACATGGGTGGACACGTCGCGCATCAAGCGCAAGGTCATGCAGTACAACGACCGGCTGGATGACTACGACCTCATGCACTGAGCGTGCGGCCTGTGTACACTCACGGCTCCGTCTCTTCATCGCATTGGCGCCGTCGCTGGGGTTCCCTTCCCAGCAGCAGTGGCTTGCCGGCATACATTGCACCATCTGTTACCCAGATGCATGGGAGAGATTTAAGATACTCAGGCTTCTAGGGTGGGCATTGCTTCTGGTGTGTCTCGCCGTGCGCTCGACGGCGGTGGGCCGCTTTGGTTGTGGAGGCCGCCGTTCCGGCACCATGGCCACCCAAGTCCACGGTGTGAGTGCCGCTACGCCGCCTCTCCACAGCCCATCCCGGTCTGGTCAGCCCCGTCTTTGACGCCAGCGGTAGCCTTCCTTCAAGCCGGCGTGGATGGGGGCCAGAAGTGGAAGGGTGCGACCTCGGCGTCGAAGCTCTCCAGCGGCTGCGACCGGTCGTCCAGCACCGCCATCTGGAAGGAGCCGTGCATGCTGCCAGGCGCCTCGTCAAGGTCCGTCCCGCTGTAGTACTGGAAGCAGGTCCCGGGCTTGATGATGGGCGTGCAGCCGATCACGCCCCGTGTTCCCCGTGGGACCTCGGTGACGGTCACCCCCCGCGAGTCCTGGATGATCCAGTGCCGCCCCAGGAGCTGCACTGTCTCTGTGCTGCAAGAGGAAAGCGTGAAAGGGTGGAATGGGGTGGAGCTGGGTGGGTCGTAGGGGGGGGGGGGGGGGGGCAGACTGTGGCTGTCAAGCGCGTGGCGGGGTTGAACTTGTTGGAGAGACAATCGAGACTGGGAAAGGTAAACACTCAAATTAGCAGTGATCGAAGGAAATCTGGAGAATGGTGGGTGTCTGCTCAGGGTCGAACCCTTCTTCATGCCAGTGCCATGCCATCAGTCGGCCTTTTGTGGTCTCCATGCTCAGAGGCCACCGAGGCCCCACTCCTCAAACTGGCAGGCATAGGGAGGTGGCCACCCGGCAGGACACCGGGCAGACCGCCCCCTCATCCTTGCAAGTGACCGGGAGGGTGCCTGGCAACCCTGTCAGCAGTACCTGTTTGCTCTATGCTCTCTTCATCTGGTATGGCTGTATGGTAGCATGTGCACCACAGTCTGAGCCCAGAGCCGCCTCCCTCACGCACCTCCCGCCCTGACCCCGTCCAATCTCCCCACACCCACCCGACATTTGCCACACGGACACGATATGTGTAGAACAGCTTCGAGCCCCCTGCCTCCTCCTCCTCCTCCTCCTCCTCGCCTTCCTCAATTATTTGGAGAGTCTGAATGTCGTCTTCATGCTGCAGTGTGTTTGGCAGGGGATTGGCTGTGGGGTTTTTGTTAACTGGTGCAGGCATGGATCTCGCACCACTCGCCACAATGACCTAGGCAAACAGATCAGGGCATGGCTCCACATGCATGCTGCATCCCGTGGCCGAGTACCTTGTATGGCTCACTCGACTCACTTCCCGCGCTCACCCCCACAAAGTCTGCAGTGACCTCCACTTGCACTCCACGAGTGGTGGCTGAGCTGGACCCCCGTGCTAAGTGAATCTGGTCACTCAGCACTCGGATCCCCTGGATGGCCCGGTCCAGGTCATTCGGCTCGGCATCTGGCGGGAGGGGTTGTCGGAATTGATCTCGTACTAGGGTCCGCAGGCTGGAAGCCGTCAGTGTCTCGATGCCCTGCAGGGTCTGCACATGGGGGGCGTCATTCACATCTGTCAGCCAACTGGAGGCACGCCGAGTCCGTCGCCATTATGTCCGAGTTAACAATGCCAACAACAAAATACCCTGCATCCCCTCTCGCCCCATCTGAGCCTGCATCCCTCACCTCAGCCAGCCAGGGCAGGAGCAGGCGCGCCGTCTGCGCTCGGTGCTCGGATCCAACCTTGGCCCACCCGTGACCACCGCCCTGTCGCAGCCATGCATGCTTGTCTAATGGAGTCTGTAGCTTGAAAGCTAGAGGTGTCCGCTCCAACTCCCAGATTTGTCGGAGCAAGGCTTGGTAACAGGCCCGCAGCGGACGGGACAGCATAGCGCCACCTGCTCCACCACAAGCGATCCGATGCCTTCTTCCCACAATGCCAGATTGATTCTGAGGGGTCGAAGGAATGCGGTATCCCTGGGTTCATTGCGAGGAGGGGGCATTTCTCACCTCGATCAAACATGACGTGGCCGCATGAGCGCGCGGGCGCTGGTCGGTGGGCGAACACCCTGTGAAATACTACTACCGCTAAAAGTCCAACTTAACAATATCTCCATCTACATAGTACCATTCAATTGAACATACAGCATGCCGCGGGAGTCCGAAGCGTTCCTGCGTACGTGGCGGGTGCCCGAGACTGCCGAGTACCTCGTCGCCCGCAAATACACCCGAGCGACGCTCCAGTTTCCCGACCACTTACTGTCTGAGGCAGCCAAGGTGGCCGTTAGTGTGCAAGAGTACTGTGCATCCCGCGACCATGAAGTGCAGGTATGCCGATGTCATTCAATGCGGGACGAATTGAGCGTCAGAGCTGCCATCGAAGGCCAACTCTGAAGACGTGCTAGATCTTACATCGGTGCCCCCTCCAAGCAGGCGTACATCCTTGCAGATACGACATACAATAGTCTGAGTGTGGATGAAGTCGCAGCTGCCCACGTCGATGCTGACTGTGTGGTGCGGTGGGTTGTTGTGCAACCGTGGGGAGGGGTGCAGATTGGTGAAGTGTGCATTGCGAGCCATATTCCCCAGTAATAGCCCCCTGCTGGTCTATCGAATTGCAAGATGGGAAGCTTACATGTGACTGGAAGGAGAGCACACGCCCATATCCCACATGCATCACAGGTCCACTATGGGCGAGCATCCATGACCGCCCTGTCACGAATCCCCGCTTTCTTTGTCTTCCCCACCCAAGACCTGGACGTGGATGCGGTGGCTTCCAACCTCTCCTCGTCCACGCTCTCCTCCCTGGACACTCCTGTCCTGTGCTTCTTGGACCAGCCCCATCTGCACCAGCGGGCTGAGCTTGCCGCAGAAGTTGCACGGCGGATGGAGGCCGCAGGGAGTCTATCACCCCACTGGACATGGCCGGATGTGCCCATCCGCCAACTGGAACCAGAAGCTTTGACTGCTTCCGGCGCCGGGCTGGCCTCCTGTAGGGCTGGGGATGAGCATGCGCAGACGGATTCCGCTGGCGACGCGACGCGAGGCACCTGCTGTGCGCATCAAGGCGACTGCAGCGCGACCGCCCCTGCAGATTCCAGTGTCGGGGAGCTGCGAGCCGCAGGGTACCGCTGGAGCGGCACTGAGATGGGTGCCGGCCCCGTGACCTACATTTGGATTGGGGCTCCAGATGCACCTGCACTCCAGCTCCTCCAACTCACCCGCTCCACGCTGCCCTGGTGGACCCTTGATCCCACGACGTACACCCTGGAGGAGGGCCTGCCGGTGGGGGTGCGGCGCCTGCTGCGGCGCCGGTACGCGCTGATGGAGAGGGCACGGGATGCCAGCATCGTCGGTGCGTGGACTGGAGGGGTAACAGGGGTGTGGGGGAGAGGGACGATTACGGAGCACTAGTGCTGCCCTGCACGAGGGAAACATGTCGGCGTACATTCATGCTTTGCTCGAGCAGTGCGACCTGGATCCCAGCTCAACGCCCCTGGCATGGTCCTGCATCTGGCTGCTCGCTGGTATGTCCTCTTCGTACATTGTGCCGTCCAAATCGGATCGTCAAGTCACCTTTTAACTCCTGACGAATCACCATACCTGATCCAACCTACCTCAACCCTCGCCCACAGGCGTTCTGGTGGGGACCCTGGGAGTGGCTGGGTATCTTGGAGCTGTCGAGCAGCTGTGCAATGCTGCCGAAGCCGCCGGGAAGAAGACATACACGCTGCTCATGGGAAAGCCCAGCCCAGCCAAGCTGGCCAACTTTCCAGAGATAGAGGTGGGGTTGTAGTGTGTAGAGGGAGCACTGGATTGGGCATTAAACCACCGAACTCTTACTGCTACCATGACAAGGAGACTCATGAGAAGGACCACTCGTGCCCGGCCTCCCTGCTGAAGCGGCCGGTGACCTCCTGCTCCCCACCTGCACAGGTGTTTGTGCTGGTAGCAGACCCTCAGGGCCAGATCCTGGACTGCAAGGAGTACCTCGCCCCCATCATCACACACCACGAGGCCATGCTGGCCTTCTCCCCAGACTCGGAGTGGGATGAGTCGCTGTACCGGCTCGACTTTGGAACTGATGGGCCTGCACAGGTAGGTTTCGGGGTGGACTGTCCTGCATCCAGGGTGTACTGGGTGAGCGCAGGGCCTGGGGTGCAGCGCACACAAGCTGCGACGAATTCTCATCGCTCACCTCCCCTTCCCCTGCCAACCTAGGCCTCGGAGGAGACCGACGCCACATCAGAACTCGCGCTGCGCGCCGCCAAGGGCCTGCGCCTCACTCCGGTCGCGACGACGGGCGCGCACGCCTTGACCCCGGCCTCGGCCGCAGACTACCTGGTGCACAAGCGCAGCTGGAGGGGCGTGGAGGCACCGCTGGCGGGGGCGGCGCCGGCAGTGCCCCGGGCTGCGGTGGAGGGAAGGTCTGGGCGGGCGGCAGGGTACCAGGGCGAGCCGTCCAATCTGTAGCGCCCCTGCCCACGGCTCCCGGCCTGCTCTCTCTGGTTCCTTTGTACAAGCAGGTGCACGATCTCAGTGTGTGTATGCGTGGTGGGCGAGTGACAGCCAGCAGGGAAGTCTGTGCAGAGCGCAAGTAGTGCTCATTCAGCGTGAGGGCCGCTAGGGGGATGAGTTTGAAGAGCGATCCTGCGAGGATCTGCGAGCATCTGCGAGCGTCCTGGCTGGCCAAGCGTGCGCCGGCCAGGCTGCTGCGGAGGGGAAGGGCTTCAAGGAGCAGCGACGGGGCAGCGATTCTGGCCCAGGCGCTCTCAAAGGTATACGCATCCCAGGGTCTTGCTGCCGCAGAAGGGGCGGGGGGTCGCCGTCCAGTCGAACTCCTGCAGCACCAGGGGGTTGGTCCCAAACACCTCCTGGAACGTCCTTAAATACTGCAGTGGAAGGGTTGGTGGCCTGGGTTTGTTTCTTTGAGGGTGGTTGAGATTCGGAAGGCAGATGGCAGGGCCTTGGGGTGTGAGTGAGCGTGGAGCGGGCTCAGGCCGGCGTGCTGCATCTGCACTGCGAGCAAAGCAGCACGGGTGGGGGCTGCCCGATTCCCGCAGCGCCAGCATGGAGACCTCCATGTCAGCGCCCTGCACGGCGCCAAGAAATGCGCTGCCCGCTCACAGTTTGCGTCGCGTCCAGGAACTTTGCAAAGTTGTGGCTGATGCCGACGGGAGACAGCTTCGAGATGTCCACTCGCCGCTGCACGGAAGCGGGAGGTGGAGGTAGGGGAAGGGGACTTGGCACGGGCTTCAGCCTGTCAAACAGGAGTGAAAGTGCTGTCCCTGCACAGATCGACGGTGCCCTGTGCCGCTGCGACTCCAGGAATCCCCCCACAACCTGTTCCCAGCGGACCTTGGGGCGGAGGAAGGAGATATAGCGGACTGGCGCAGCGTTCGAGGCACCGCGCTGCAGCGCCGCCGTGCGGTTGGCCAGCACGAAATTCATCAGCACGTCCTCGCCGTTGAACAGGCGGTCGACTGCAGGGATGAGAGGGTGCACGTGTGTGTGAGTGGAGGTGTGGGTTCGCTGTATACCATGCCACGCTGCTGCAGGGGCCTCTAGGGCACGCTTGAGGTCGGCATGCAGCGGGCCCTGAGACCCGCCGGCTGTCGAGCGCCACCTCCACCTCTCCAGGTCTGGTGGGAGGGATGAGGTCCACCGCGCACCCTCCTCCCAACCCTCCCACCAGACCAGCACCCGGCAGCGCACCGGTGGCACGGGCAGGCGCGACGGCGTCGGCCCAGTAGGCGGGGAAGGCGGTGGCGGAGTCCAGGAAGGCAGCGCCGGTGAGGATGACGTTGTACGCCCCGGCCTCGATGGTGTCCCTGCGGCGGCGGCGGCGCGACGGGCAGGGCAGGCGTGAATGAGCGGCGGCAGTCCGCTTCTTCCTGTCGCAAAGCGTGTCAGAGCGTGCCTCGTGGCGGCCAGCCTGCGTCAACCGCCTGCCCTCCACTGCCATGGGGCCGCCAGTGTGATGGGCTGCCCCTGGTAGACACCCCCCACTCGGCTGTGGTCCAGGCTGCCTGCCTGCTGGCAAGCCCTGTGCCCGCTCCCTCGCTCCCACCCGCCCCATGTGCTGTGCATTTGACCACACTGAAGCAAGCCTCACCCTCGGACCCCCATCCAGCCACCCCCCTGCGCCCACACGCACGCAAGCATTCACACCAGCCACACTCCCCCCCCGCCCACCCCCCCTACCTCTCGCCGTGGAAGGTCAGGGGCTCGCCCGCCATGCGGCGCGGGAAGAAGCCGTGCATGGTCTCCGGCGCGCGGCGCCAGACCGCGAACCCGGCCTCCACGTCGGCACATGTCAGGCGGATGTCATCGTCGATGGAGAGCACCGCCCGCGTGCGCAGCGCCGGGTCCACCCGGAAGCGATTGTTCAGCGAGTTGGCCGCCTCGGCGCGGACCCGCACCGGCACCGCGCGGTCGTCGTAGTCCACGCCCGGCTCGGGAAGGGGGCCTGGTGTGTGTGGTGGGGGGGGAGGGGGTGGGAGAGGGCGGATGCTGAGAGGTGGGGCCTGCCTCGGTCGAGGGAGGTGGGGGCCAGCTCAACAGCGCATCGCCGACGCCGCCACAGGCACCTGCCCGGCTCTGGGAGCGCTGCACAAGCACACCACCCCTCCCACCTGTCCCCTTCCCTTATCGGCCCCTTCACAACCCCTCCCCCCATCCTCCAGCCGCCCTTTTGGGGTGAAAGACTCGTGCCCATCCCCACCCCGCCTCCTCCTCACCCTTGTTCCAGACCACGACAACCTCCTGGACGGAGGGGCAGGCGGCGTAGTGCGCCACAAACCCGGCCAGCATGGGCCGGCGCGCCGCGTAGGTCATGACCAGCACCGTGAACCTGCTGAGCTGGCCGTCGACGGGGACGGGGGCGGCACGCTCCAGCAGGGGCCCGACGTAGAGCCCCGCCGCCAGCGCCGCGGCGCCCAGCGTGCCCAGCGCCAGGCCCAGCGCCAGGCGGCGCAGGCGCGG